CAAAATTGGAAGTGTGTATGAGACACAATTTGAGTTTGAGATTTTAGGTTGCACCGATTTCAGAACTTTTAAATCTTTTTGATGAAACTCCTTAAAGTCTCAGTTTAATAGTTGTTTTAAGTCTAAGAAAAGTTGTTTTAAGTTGGCTTTTGCCAACAACAAAGTTTAGTTTTGCTTAAGCGGTATTTTAATTGTAATTTTCTTAAGGACAGTTTCTGCAACTTTTCAGTGAAAAATGCCTTTTACGCCTAGTTTCAAATTATTCATATTTCCATTAATTAATATATATTTCCAACTTTGCAGATGAAAATATGGTGTGAAAATTATCGATCAACATGGAGATGCAGTAAAAACAATGAAAGGAGCGCATTGAGATGAAGGTAAGAATAATTATTGTAGTATTATTTGATTTAAAGTTTTAGTTGATGTTACCTTGCACTAATTAATACAAAACATGAAGAAAGCATTACTACTGTCTCCCATGCGTTCTAAAAATACTACCATTCAAAAATATTAGTCGAAGCTCATTCTTGAACTTGACAACTAGAAATTTCTTTTAGAAATGAGAAAAAAAGTTTGTATTTGATTTATGTGGACGTTAATGAGTCCGTGTTCCGTTCATCTGCGTGCAATGTTCCTATATCGGTGGTACATTTCATCCTGTGGCAATGCCAAAATCTAAAATTATCCCGTCGCTGCCTGAGACGAAAAATCTTGAACGAAAATCATCCGTGCTGGATTTCAGTTGAACGCCGGCTCCTCGCTGGGAAACTAAGTGTGTTTTCATGTGGAAGACGTGTGTGAATCGGACACGATAATATTGGAAATATTTGCCAAAAATTGCCAATAGGCCGATTATTTTTAGTTTGAGGTGAGGTGGCTAACTACGCAACTGAATGCATTTTTAAAATCTATTACCCATTGTTAAAAACACTGCTCTGTTATCGATTCAATCATGTTCTTCTAATCAATTACAATTAAGCTCCTTCATTTAAATTAGTATGAGCAATCGGAGAGGTGTGCGAAAGAGCAGAGTCGCGAATTAGGTCGACGATCTTTATGTGTGGTCGCTGTTTTATGTAACGAAAATTTTGTACCAAAATATATTTAAGTATAAAACACGCAAAACTTGGGAATTATATTTAGATGAGCATTATACGGTGAATTGTGCGTGTACGATTATTGTGTATGTGTTTGAGTGCAAAATTGAAAAAGTGTAACCAAGTGACGAGGAGGTATCAAATGGAATGGATAGTTTTTGTTTGGTTATCCTTAAATGCATGTTTTCATATTATGAATACAAAATTTTGATATTGATTTATGATATATAATGAGTGATTAGTACAATTTGATTCAAATATTATTTACTGCAGTTGCACAAATTTAGGATGTCTAAGACATTTTCTTTTTAAGTACCTCCAATGCTTTATCTTTCAGACATCTTCGACAGTTTGTCAAATATTGTATTACCAATGATGCTTATAAATCACATTTGTTATACATGAGGACTTGACGCTAAAATCTGTTTTTTCATAAGAAATTTTAAGTCTTGTTTTCCGCATTTTCTGGATATTGTTTGTGGTTTCTTATTTCTCTATTGTTCATCTGTCATCTATCATGACCATATTTTATAAAAAATAATTTTACTAATAATGTTCAAAAAACTAATTAGATTTCTATTGTACATCAGAGCGTGTCGTTAAAATTTTCTTTCATCAGCATTTTCTGGAAAATTTGTGATGCTATTGTTTGTCTGTTCCATATTATTTCAACTTGTAGTTGATAGTGTTCTATTGTTTGATTTAATCATATTTGAATAATAATAAGACGACGAACTCTGTTAATGATCTACCGACTTTGAAGTTTACATTGCTTAAATTATAGAAACACATTGCATTGATTTTGTTTTCATTGCATTTTACCAAATAGAGACAACTTGGAAAATTATTTCTTCTATATCGAGATCTTTCGAGTAAGTTGTTTCTACCATAAGCTTATTTTTAAATTTGCTCCAAAATTGGCTGATTTACTTTCACAAATCATACTCAGTCCCGTTGCATTAATCTTAATTATATATTCAACTCCCACAATACTCTTGTATAAATATATATAGAATTCAAATTTTCTAAAATTTCTGAGTACTCTGTCTAAACATGAGATTTGTAATAACAACAAGAGTGAAGTATGCAAAATTCATTAAAAATTAATTAGATGCATTCATGATCATCTTCTTGAATCATCAGGGAGTGCAGACTTCTAGTACTCCTAATAAGCAGATCCAACTTGGTTTAATGAAATAGAAACGCGGTTTAATTATAACAAATAGCTATTGTTTTTTTTAATGGTATTTTTTTATTTATTTCTGCATTAATTTGTAAACTAATCTTAACAGTTTATCTATTCTGCAAGATTGTAAAACAACTGCAAATATTATGCAAAATGGCACAAGCATGTTGACAATTTAATGTCTTAATTTTACACCTCGCCACGCATGTGAATTACATTATCTATTCTTGAAATCGCATTAGCAAGATGTTTCGCAATATTTAACCCAGCTAATGATTTTCTAGAATCTAAAATAATCGATTTCCATTTCGCAGAGGTCAATAAATATATTCTCACGCCTACATAATTCGGTTCGCCAGTCATAATGATTCTTGATAGATACTTTTGCTATAAATAAATATTTAGAGTAGTCTTAAAAATAACATATACTTGCGTTCATCGGCTTAAAATTCACTGTGATACAATTCGTAGCGTATATTTCAAAGTGTAAGATGACATCTATCTTGATTTATAATCCGCGATTTCCACACCAGTTCGGACATCTACTCTGCCCTCATTTCTGATGTAAAGGACGCACGAAAATATCAGATGGTGGTGCGTGTTTGTTACTTAAAAATATTTACTTTGCTTACTTTGATACGAAAATGTTTCGGAAGCTAAATCAAGTTTATGTGGCAATTTCTGTTTATATAAAACACTTTTGCTCTTGTAAATGTTAGTTTATGCTTCTACAGGTAAACCGCATTATCGCTGTGTATTTATTTACTGACTAATTTTGAATCTTCAAAGCTATTATAGGTTTTAGTTAATTTTTGATGGAACAATTATACAGGATATCATATATTGAATAATTAATGTATTTAATTAATGTATTAGTATTTAAATTAATTTTATTTTTAAAAAACGTTTGTTTGCTGATGTGTCTTTGTGTAGTTCGTACCTGAGTCCCGTTCGCCACGTCATAGATTTTTTTGCTATAAAATGTATTGATTGCCTTTTGTTTTAGATTGGTCGTAAAACGATATTTTTGTTCAGGCAACATTACATAAACTTCACAAACTACAATTACACTCTTGAAACACAAAATGTTATATTAACTTCTTATTCTAATTGGAAATTTACTAATCTATTTGGCAAGGATTCAAGAAATCATAATTATTAATTATTAAAATCGTAAAAATTTAAACAGTTGTTTAGAAAACATGTAAAGAAATATATATTCAATAAACATATATTAAGCATTTTTAAAAGTTACAAATTACCTAAGGTGACCGAAAGCATAACATGAGTTGTGTCTATGAATTTTCTTGAATAGTTCAAACATATAATTTTTGTAAAAAATATTTTACTACTATTCAAAATCTCTATTCTAATTTATTACTTGTAATCAGTCACCAATTACACATTTCATTTAACTCAAACTTATTTATGCGTTGTTTATGTAAGTTACCGCTTGCCATATGTATCTTGAGCTATAAGTAAAACATTAATTAATTTTATTGCATAATATTGTCAGGAACTGCATAGACCTTTTAGTTTTAATTAAATTAGATTATCGATTGTATATTTTAGACTTATTATTAGAATGCAGTGTGTGATTCAGTTTCCGATTTAGACGTGATTAAACTATGCAACACGTGCCAATACAAACAAGGTTACGAATTAGTTATTTAACTTTTCACTTTCTGTCGGTTATGCAATTTTATGGGATTTTAACACATCCTAAATAAAATTAAATTATAATAAAAAAAATATTAGATATTAAATTTGTCTCGCGATTTAGTCACTGTCTGAGAAAAACAGGATGATGAGTAAAGATGAGCAAATAAAAAAATATTAAAAGTATCTTTAAATGTGTCAGTATTTTATAGTGGTCTTTTATGATAACTTTTAATTCAATATATTATATATGCATTTAGAATTGCTGCTTTTTATTATTATTATTATTTTCACTATTATTATTACCATTATTATTATCTACTTTCAAAAGAACTTTTCTAATTCCCCTTAATAATGTCAAATCATCCAAAATAACCTTGCGTCAATGGTTACCGAAGACGGCCGTCCGCATCATTCATCAGACGGATTATGAGTGCTCATCCAATTTTAAATCTAATAATAATTCGACATATCAGTACGGCGAAGACAAACTCTTATGGAACATTATTGATACGTGCGTCCGAAGGATCTCTGCACGGTCGTGCTGAAAATAGACGGCTGCAACATCCGTCAAACGACTTTGTCTCGATGTAAACTGTTTGGAAAACACGCCGTGTTCGGCCTGCATGTTTACAGGAATCGTTACAATCGGCTGATGATGAATACCAATCTGTCACGAAACGCATCGCTAACGATTAATCTTAAACCGTCTTGCCGCAGTGATAAAATTTGTTTCCATTTCAACTATTACAAATAGTAATAGCCGCTTGTGTTAATTTGATTGCGACATTTATGTAGTTTATGATGTCAGATTAACGAGTACATTTTACAGGTTTTAGTACAAAGTCACGCTCAAATAGACTGTTGTATATTATTTGAAACAGGTGACTCTTGCTCTAGTTTTCAACTGTTGATTGTACATGCAATAGGAATATAAAATTCTAAACTAACATTTTTTTAAATTTACCTTTACTTTGTTCTATCTGTTTATTATTTTTTACAGATGCGCAAGTGAAGAATTAAAAGTGCTGACCTAGCGCGAAAATTTTGCCGGTATGTCCGGTCCACCACCACACAATCCGCACGGGTATCCGCCAGGCGGTGGTATGCCTCCTCCACCGCGCGGTTGGCGAGGAGCACCACCGTCGCCTGTGTTTTTTCGTCCTCCGTCGCCATGGACGTCCGCACATTCACCACCTGTTGTGAGTCCAGTTCCGTTTCGTCCACAATCACCACTTTTCGGTAATCCAGCCTCTCGTGGTGTCCGCGGTGGTTTCGTTCCGTATCGTCCTGGTACGCCGCCTTTACCAGGTTACGCGCTTCCAGTGACGCCGCCGCCGGGGTATTACAGACCGTTGTCGCCGGTTACGTTCGCCGGTCCGCCGCCGCCACATAGACCCATACCGGAATATGGGTCTCCGATTCCGCATCCTGGTCATCAGTCTCCAGCTGAGTACATGTACAGACCCGGCCCGGGCCCGGAGTTTATGTACAGCCCTGGACCGCAACCCCAGTACGTTGGAGTTCCATTAGAGCCGCCACCACCTAGACCAACTCGGTACGTCATTTATGATGACGAGGATGATGATGGGCCGTCCACGGCTGACATCATTGCCAGTCAATCGCAGGATTACGTGGACGAAAAACTTGCAGAATATCAGGCTACAATATTGCAATTACAAGGTTAGTTTTATATTTAATATTCTATTTTACTATTTGTGTGTATATACTCAAAGAATTCAAATAATCAAAATGACAACATGTTGGAATCTGAATTGGCTCTGAGTATGGCCTACATATTGAAGAGCTGTACAATAATAAACTTGGAAGAGTAATTTTCTGATTTATATTAATGAGTATTCTAATTTGATCAAAATTACATGTCACATAAGATTTTGTTACACTACCGTTATTTGGCTACATAGGAATTTCTATTTTGTAAGTAAATGTATTAACTTACATAACCTGGAGACACGCCCAGTATATGCGAATATGCGTGTTCTTCTATAAATTTGAATGTGCCAAATACACAAAATATTTTATTAGATTGCGCTGAAAATTTCTTGACGTGCATATTTTATCGTAAAGCATCACTTTTATTTTTGTGAATAATAAAATGATTTGTAGTCATAATATATTTTGAGCTTATATTTATGAGCAAGCGTAATAATTATAAATATTTTTTATGTAGTAAATTCTCTCTGACTACAAATCAGTTTACTTTGAATTACAAGTGGAATGTTATTACAGTAGATGACCATAATTGAATGGACCTTAAACTTTTAACAGGAATTTATATATTAATATATTTTACTCATTGAATTTTTTGTGATCTGTTTGTCATCTGTTGTGATTTTACATTACCATCAACTCAAAACTATTTATGCCTTCTATCTGGCGCCATTCATTTATCCAGTTGACTAATGTTTCAAGTACAATTTTATCAAAAGCTCTTAATGAAATATTACTTCTAATAATAGTATAAAGATTCATTTGATCTTGAACTTTTCTAAAATGATTTTTTTGTACAATTTAATTTAAAAATGCACTGGTTTACGTTTTTCTTACTTCAACTTACAATTAGTTGATACTTTTTGTTACGGTAAAAGGTAATGCTTTCGGTATTTCTTCGTATTATTTTAAATTTCCATATATTTTGCGTAGAAACAGTATTTCATCATCATTTTTTGAAGAACTCAGACGATTTGAAAAAATATATCAAACTAACACTAATCACTTTGTTTTCTCTCAAAGCATAGCTGTGTATCAGAATAACGAAATTACTTCTGTTGGCAGTTTTTTGGCTTACCTTCTGCTTTATTACTTTACTGTTAAAAGCTTTTTAAACATCTAAAATCACAATCTTGGCTTTGCAAATATATTCCGTACTTCAGATGTATTCCGTATTTAGGCCACTTTTATTTAAAAAAAAAAATCATATAGTCTTTATCATTCCTGAATTTTTTTAATGAGCTTCAAGCCATTAAGGTACATAAATTGATTTGATTCGTATTTTGATGATTTAACACATTTACCACAAACTTATAATGATTTGTTATGCCAAATATGTGCATTTCTATATCATTTTCACTTTTATTTTGTGATGGCCAACTTAGTTCTCCATATAGGGCCTGCCTCGAACCGCGACCTGCGCTCAACCTTCACGTTTGAAATGTATTCTTACCTGCACCCACGCTTGTTTAATTTTCACAGTTTACAATCCTATTTTATTATTTCAAGAAACATATAAGTTAATATAAAAACACGAGCTTTGATGCTCCTCTGGCTGTGTTCCAATTTCTTTGGAAATTTGAGTCTTTTTTTTAGACAGTCCGATTTGTTCAAGAAAATAAAATAAAATATTTTGCGAAAGCTTTTTGCATGATGCATTCAATATGGAGCAATTATATAATAAGGAATCATTTTTGGGTATTTTAGGCATAGGGTTACATTCTACCAAAATAAATATTTTCTGCAACTTCTAGGTGATTTTTTATTATAAGAATGGTTTTATCTTATCTAACTACCCAACTTACCCGAGAATTGCGTTAAAAACTATTACATATGTCTCCATTAAGTAATTTTTTGTGAAAATTAGATCTGTCTCACGGTCATCAGGCCCTATCGAACAAATTACAACTTGTCCTGAAACCTGACATCCTTTTCGTCTTTAATAAATCTACAATCCGTTGATGCTGTGACAGGCTACGGCCAACAACGAAATGATCTCATTCAAGTTAAATTTAGATAATTTACTTGTAGATTCAGGCTAAACGACTTTTAATATTAGAACAGACTAGAAACAGATTAGAAAAAATACAAATTGATAAACTAAGTTATATTTCGTG